AATCCCAGTGCATATTTATATAAATGGAGGTTTTTAGACCCACTCCAAGGGCCATTAGATGTAAGCCCACCTGCCACGTCAAGGCAAACCTCTTGGGTTGGTCCTACACCAACAATTCAACTTGCTTGTTTCAGCTTAAGGCAAAAGTAAATCTCTAATGAGACAGAGAGGGATATTTTTTTTTTTAACCTCTAAATACTTATTAACCCTTAATAAACCCTTAATATAATTACATCTAATGGCCAAAACCCTCAATTTATATAAATATGCACAGGGATTTGGAATAGTGCGCAAGTAACTTTTTTTCTTTGTTTTTTATTGTATTGGGGCTGATGTGTACTATAGTCATTGCTGCCGCCCAGGAGTAGTGGGAGTTTGAGCGCAGGACTTATTTTTGTGTATCATTTCGGAGCAAGGTTGAAAGATATATGCTCATAGAATGAGCATTGACATGATAGGAGGCAAAAACTTGAAAAGTTAGAACAAAGAATCAAAAATAAGGTTATGACCACAACGTATTCAAGGTATTCAAGGTATTACACCAATAATAGATAAATACTTTAAATATCAATTTTGAACCTATTTAATTATTAAGTAGTTTACCTGAAAGACTACAGTGAGATTTCTTTTATTTTCAGGTCATGGGACACACACAATACAATAACGATCACAAGGCTGCATGTTTACAACACAAACAAAATAAATATCATTGAAAAAACACATATTCGGAAAAATAAAAATGTCACAGTCCATCCATTCAACCAAATTCATGTAAGAGTAATATTTGTATTTAAGTCGAACAGTTTACAAATTAAACTTTTGCTCAAATTGAGCTGTAAGATGCATAATAGTTCATTTCTCTCTAAGAACCTTGCACCATGCATGGGAATGATTAATTGTACAGTATAGAAAATATGGCAAACTCAAATGATGTGTATCCTAAAGGCAAACATGTCACCCTGTTATATATTGCCACAGGTATTTGTAATATTCAGCATTTTTTAACACAATCCCTCATAATTTGACCTAGATGTTAAGCATGATCGAATATACTTCAAAAATGTGAGCAAGCAACTATTTTAAAATATAACTATTTCACTGTGAGAAATTTTGATACACCAGTTCAACCAAAGACAGTTTAAATTAATACTAACCAAATAAGACAATCAGGGCATAACATAACAGAATATATTTATCCTTATCAGAGCTTCCAATGTATTATTATTTCTAATATTTTAAAATGTGTTTTTTGGTTTTTTTAAGTTCTAGAAAATAAATGAAATATATAAATTCACCTGGCTGTATTTGTATCTGTACTGGAACTGTCTCACTGGAATCCAATGTTATAAACTATGCCTTATTCTCTTGTAAATCAGCATACAGGAATTATATGCTAAATATGATAAACAAATATGGTTACTCCTTCTCTTTTCTTTTCTCTGCACCGAAGATAATGTCAATTGCTAAACCTTTAACATGCATTTAAAGGAAAACAGAGCATTACATGAAAAAACATTAACACAATTGATGGTTGATTTTCACAGTTTTTCTCAATTGTGCAATTTCTAGAAACGGTATGGTTCCATTTTAAGTAGATTATCCATGTTTGATAAAAAAGATGGAGTATGCGCATGTGAAAATGTTACTTCCTCTTGTAAATTCGTGGTAAGCCTTCTGTACTACTGGAAAATGGTTAACTTAATTAAAGGGACATCCGAGGAGTCGTAGACACCTGTTTTCCCTGCATGTGTAATAGGGCAGTGAATTCCCCATTCCGCAACCCCACACACCTCAAACTTTTCATTAAAGCTATAGCAATTGACAGATATCAGCACAGCGATATACCCAACCACCCCTCCCAAATTTGGTGCCAAAGATCTTGTAATGTAATGCATGCTTATGCATATCTGCCAGTTGTGGGGCTTTACCACCTGAAAATGTGTGCTAATTAAACATTATTTTCAGTGTATTGTTTATTGTAATGCCAAATATCCATAAAGCATATTAAAAAGGTTCAGACACAGCCTGGCGTGCCCATTTCTTTCAATAAACATAGTTAATTTCTAGATCAATTTATATTGAGGGAAAGATACAAATGGGAGGCATAGAAGGAACAATTCAGTGTAAATACAATGTCATCCCAAAGATCTTTGTAGTAATCACTTCGTACATATGAAAAAGTAATCCATTAACTATTGTATACAGGGGATTCTATACTATATATGTTGTCAGCCAATGAGTAGCTACGGAGCACTAAAAGAAGCCTCATGCAGGAGCTTACAGTGTCTGCCAATGCCTTAGAACTCAAAACATTAGCAAATGATCTGACTATTTAGATGGGGGTGAGGGGAGGGTAGTAGTTGTGGTACTTGGGTGTTCCTTTATTTAATGGTCAAACCTTGTTCTGTGTTGACAGGCCAGTGTAAGTACATGGGATAAAAAAAAACAATACACTAAAGTAAAGAGGAAATTCATAATTCAGCTGTATGTCCATGCTCACAGTTCCCTAAGCAAATTAAACACAGCTGTATGTAGTATATGCACATTGCATGGGAGATTTACAGAGAATGGAACAATGACTAGTATTGACCCTGTCAGATAACTTTTAATTACAATAGATGGATCCATTCATTGTGTAAGAACAAATAAAAATGGCACAAGGACCACAGTTTAACCTGATCAGATTTCAGTAATGTAAATAGATAAAGAATTAAATTCACAACAAAAAACTCAAACCAAGTCCTAAATCAAATACTGTGAATAATGCAATGGTCCTAGATGTAAATGCAATCAGTCACATGCAAATTAGTAGTTTGATTCTATGGATGAAATTCTCCAAGCACAATAACCACTACAGCGTGTGCCCCCACCCTCCACTTTAAAGGAGTCACCCCATTTTTAAATGGTTTCACTTCTTACAAGGGGTCCACGAAGTGTGCTGTTGTGGCTATGGTGCTTGGACTGTTGCTTTAAAGGTTCTCTCACTGACTTCTATCAGAAAATTGATATTCAATTACCAGAAATATTGTACTTTAATAGAATCCAGCTCCATAATAAAATAAATTGGTACTTATTTATTAAGGAGTAGGTTTATATCATAGTTCACAAATTGGAGTAATCAGTGGTGGGGAAAGCAGCAGGATAAATCCACAGTGATTATTCCAATGGTAGGCCTATCAGCTGCTCTTCATAAATAAGCCCAGTACCTTTGGTAGTATTAGTAAGTATCATTGTCAAATTATACTAATAAGCTAAAATATGTGAAGTTGAAACTACAGGTTTTGGTGTACAGGAATCCCATGTGGGTCTATTCATTCCTGTTTTATGCACTTCTCAGTGGACAGGGATAGATAATATGGACAATACATAATAAGGGTTACAGTTTTGTAGAATGTTGATGAAATAATTTTTTTTAAATTGACGACAACTGAAAAGTGGAGCGAACCTCTATAAGTTATCCAGTAACGATGGTAACAAAATAAATATACGTGCTGCTTCAATATTTTTTCACGGTGATTGCATACTTTTTGGACTATTACTCCTTTTTTCTAACAGTAACAGTATTAGAAATACATTGTTTCCGGCTAGGAAAATAGTAATAATTTTATAATGCTTACACCAAGCATTTCAAACTTGCGGCCCTGCGAGCGGCAAGTTTGCCATGCTTATTAAAGCAGAGTAGACACCAGCTCTCCCCTCATTGGAGGTGCTACTCTGCCAAAATTACCCATCTTTGGGAGGAGAGGTCCCTGGAGGCAGCGAAGGAGCTCAGTCTTCATGCTCCTCACTGCTCCCTGGCGTGCGCCCTCTGTAGTGATGCCAGGTACCGGAATAAGACGTCATTCCGGCAATCGGCATCACTAAACAGCGTGCGTGAGGGAGCAGGAAGACTGAGCTCCCGAGAGAAGATCAGGGAGAGGCCCTTACACCAGCTCCCAAAGGTAGGGAGCAATAAATAAAATGATTTGTGAGTGTGTGCAAGAATGTGTAAATGTGTGTGTGTGTGTGTCTGTCAGTGTGTGTGTCTGTCAGTATGTGTGTGTGTGTCTGTCAGTGTGTACGTGTGTCTGTCAGAGAGTGTGTGTGTCTGTCAGTGTGTACGTGTGTCTGTCAGAGAGTATGTGTGTCTGTCAGAAAGTGTGTGTGGGTGCTGGGATTTAGTATAGATGGGGGTACTGGGATGTAGTATAGAGGGGAGGACTGGAATTTAGTATAGAGTGGGGGACGTGATTTAGTACAGAGGGGGGACTGAGATTTAATACAGAGGGGGGACTGCGGTTTAGTAGAGGGGATGATGTTTTATTTATACTGTACTTTTCAAAACAAACCTACGTTTCTATGAAAATTTAAGTTTTTTGTTTTTTTTGCAGCCCACATAAACGTAAACCTTGTTTATGTGACCCGTGCTAGCCCTTGAGTTTGACATGCTTGGCTTACACTGATGCTGTTAGCAGTAACTATAGCTCTGCCATGTATAAAAACCAATGTCAACCCAAACTATCATGCCTCTCACCCCAGCAACGTTTTATCCACTATTTTGTCTGCATTTCTTTACATAACAAAAATGACAGTATGATTTGTATATTATGTTACTGAGACATTTACTCTGCCTCCCTTAAAACTTTAATCCACTAAAACTAACTCAAATCCTTTAATGCTAACACGTATCATCCAATTACTCTAATGTCGGGCACGCGGACTGCTTAAGGAGAAGCCCCATGAGGTTTGATGGAGCGAAGTGGGTAAGTATAGCGCTCGCGCTAGGGGTTAAATGCAGGTTAGGGTTAAATACAAGGCAGCTCGCGCTGGCAGTTAAGGCGGCAAGCTCGCGACCAGGGCATGAGCCCTGATTGGTAGATAGCAGCGCGAGGGCAATATTGGAGGGAAAATAGGGGATATAAATTGGAGGGCGCCAAATTAATTGCCTCAGATTGTGCCAGACAAATCCGAAGGTTAGCTATATATTAAAATATTTAAGCTGCTGTTTCTTACCTTTGGAGATGTCTGGCACAATTGAGGCATTATTAGAACAGCTTAAACAAAAGGCTTTAGGCTGCAGTGATACTGCATGGCTACAGGCTTGCTTAGAGTCCGCCCCCAGCACCTCTGGTCTAATTGAAGTAGAGGAAGAAGAAGGGGCTGAGCTACAGGAGGAGTTAATAATGGAGGAGGGAGCAGGATATTCCCCTCAAAAAATTAAAGGGCAAGTGCAAGAAAGAAAATCTGGTGATAGCGACCCCTGCAGGATTCGTGAGGCAAGAACGAAGAGGTCCAGGGAAACCTTCTCACCGTCTCCAATAAAGAATAGGAAGAGGATGTGGAAACAGGGCAGAAAATACGAACAAAAGAAGAAGAATAAAGAGGCTGAGGACAGACCTAGGCTATTCGAAGAGAGCGAAGCAGCTCAGGATATCCCAGGTTGCAGTCATGAGCTGGGTGAGTTACAAGCAAATGTGAATAATGCTGTTTTCGGGGAAGTGGTGTCTTCACTTGAGAAACTTACAAAATTATTGCAGACACCTAAATTAGCGAGAGTATGGGAGCCTGATACAGAAGTGGTCACAGTTAATCCAAAAGTGACACATTCTGTGAGGGAAGAAGTTAGAGTAAAAGAGACATGCATGAAAGAAGCTTTAGGTTGTGAAAGCTCCCCTCTGGGTTTTCATTTAAGTAAGTCTATAAAGGATAGGATATGGAAAGGGGAGTATATCGATATTCTATCATTATTGCCCACAGCCAGAGAATTTACTAAACCCGACAGGGAAAAGGGGGATGAGGAGAGGAAAAAGTTTATTCCGAGGTCTTTCAATAATTGGCTGCAAGCTTTTTGCATTTATGCTAGCGTGTTAGGCGAAAAATATCCAGAATTGTGCTGTAGGCTATTTCAACATACAGAAGCTATTTTGGAGGCATATAAAAATTTTGGGGGTTTGTCATGGTTTTATTATGACGAACAATTCCGACAAAAACTAGCAGTACATAGCAACCTTAAATGGGGTATGAAGGATGTCGGACTATGGGTGAGCATGATGTTACCGCAGAGACAGCCTAATTTTGTTAATAGGCAGGTTACAAATGTTGCACAGAAAAAAGGTTTTTGCTGGGCTTATAACGAATCACAATGTAAGTGGCTGAATAATTGTAGATTCCGGCACGAATGCGCTACCTGTTCAGGTGCGCATCCTAATTTTCGCTGCTATAAAAGAGGACAACAAAGTGGTACATTTCCAAAAAGCACAGACCCCAGTGAAAGTGGTAAGGTTACTACCTTATCTCGCAATCTATCCAAACCGGGAGAAAGCCAAATTAATTAAAGAAGGTTTTGAAAATGGTTTCAGGTTACCTGTATATAGTTCTGTTGAATTTTGTTGGGTTGAGAATTTAAAATCAGTTTTAGAGTTACCAAGTTTAGCCTGGGAAAAGATTTGCAAAGAGTTAGAGTTAGGGAGAGTTGAGGGCCCTTTTAATGTTCCTCCATTTAAATGTTTTCGGTTATCCCCTCTGGGTTTGGTTCCAAAGAAAGAACCCGGGTCATATAGACTAATACATCACCTATCATACCCTAAGGGAGGATCTTTAAATGACATGATTTCTAGAGAAGAAAGTTCAGTGTCTTATTCAACTTTTGATAAGGCTTTAAATTTGGTAAGAAAATGTGGAAGGGGTGCTTTGATGGCGAAGGGGGATATAGAATCTGCCTTTCGACTCTTGCCGATTCATCCCGAATCCTTCAATTCACTAGGTTTTCAGTTCAAAGGCCAGTATTTTTTCGATAAGTGCCTGCCTATGGGTTGTGCACTGTCATGTTCTTATTTTGAGACCTTTGCGACTTTCATGGAATGGATTATTCGGTATGAATCAGGTCAGCAGCAAGTAATGCATTACTTGGATGATTTTTATTTGTGGGCACTAAGGATAGTGACAACTGTAAGAATTTACTAGAAACATTTAGAAGGGTGGCTGGTCATTTAGGAATCCCATTAGCAGAGGATAAAACGGTTTTACCCACATTTTCTTTGCAATTTCTGGGAATAATGATTGATTCAACAAAAATGGAATTTAGGTTGCCGGAGGATAAGATACTGAAAATGAAGATGCTGATTCAGCAGGTAATGGGCTGTGAGAAGGTGACATTGAAAGTTTTACAATCTCTGTTAGGTCTGTTAACATTTGCTTCAAGGGTTATTCCAATGGGGAGAGCTTTCTCCAGGAAGTTGGGGATAGCAATGTCTAAGGTTAGGTCCCCATTTGCACACATTAGGGTAACAAAAGAATTGAAGCAAGACCTTAAAGTATGGAATAATTTCCTAACAGATTTTAATGGAAGATCAATGTGGCAACAAGAGTTTATAGATTCGGATAGTCTTGAGCTGTTTACAGATGCATCTGGTGCTATTGGTTTTGGCATATATTGGAATGGACAGTGGTGTGCACAAGAATGGCCGGTTCTTTGGGCACAGGAAGGCTTAACCAAAAACTTGACATTGTTGGAATTGTTTCCAATTGTAGCCGCAATATATCTATGGGGAGGAGCATGGAGAAATAGGCGGCTGATCGTCACTTGTGACAATCTAAGTGTAGTAATGGTAATTAATTCCTTACAGTCTAGGTGTAATAGAGTTATCAATTTACTTAGACACTTAGTGTTAAGGTGTTTTCAGCTGAACATATGGATAAAAGCTAGACATATACCAGGCAAAATCAATAGGCTGGCTGATGCTCTCTCACGATTGCAATTGCAGGAATTTCGAAAATTGGCACCAAGAGCAGCTGCGGAAGGAACCCAGTTCCCGTCAGACCTTTGGGATTTGATTGGGGACAGTTAAGTGTGATGCTGATGAATTCAGTAGCTGTTTCTACGTGGAGTACATATGTCAGAGCATGGAATGAGTGGTTCAAATTTAATCAGTCAAACAATAAAGATCCGTTTGGAGAGGACAAGGAGAGCGCAATACAATTTACATTGGTGTCAATGCAGAAAGGTTTCTCTAAGTCCAAGTTAGCTTGTAGTTTAGCCGGGGTGGATTTCTTTAGGAAGCTGTGTGAATGTAAACCAATTAAGCAGTATTTCATAGTTAATCAGTTAGTTCGAGGTTATAGAAGAGCCAGTAGAGTAAGGGATAACAGAAAACCAATATCGTTTAAGGTGCTATCACAGTTATTTGTAGTCCTGGAGGAAGTATGTTATTCTGAGTATGAGGTAGTTTTAATTAGATGTTCATTTATAATAGCTTTTTTCGCAGCGTTAAGAATTAGCGAGTTAGTGGCTAAGAGTAAGTTTTGTTTGTCAGGTTTACAATGGGAAGATATTATAGTTAATGATAGGAAAGTGATGGTATTCATTAGAAAATCTAAAACAGATCAGGAAGGCAAAGGAAGATGGTTAACATTGCTGGAGATTAAAGGTTCTTTTTTGTGTCCGGTTAAGGTGACAGAAAATTACTTGTCAATTAGACCAAGGGTTGAAGGTCCTTTTTTCATGCATAAGGACACCGTTCCGTTGACTAAGTTCCAATTTAAAAAGGTCTTCAAGTTGTGCATAGACAAGTTAAAGTTAGGCGATGAGCGTTATTCATCTCATTCTTTTAGAATTGGAGCGGCAACAGAAGCAGCAAGGTGTGGTTTAAGTGATGGAATGATTCAAAGGTTGGGGAGATGGGAGTCTAATAGATTTCAATTATACGTCAGGCCTCATTTGATATATAAAAAAAAAAAAAAAAAGTTAACGGTTCTTTGTTATTAAAGTTTATGGATGTATATGAACATTGGCGTATATATGTTAATAATCTTCTTTTGCTAGGTAATAAGAAGCCGGCGATTGCCTGGGTAATCGGTCATTCATTTATATTTTGGGCCCAGAAGAGGGCAAAAGAACAGTCATATGGCGAAAATCTCGGATTAGAAAGCAATGCTGTTAAAGTCTTTTGGAAAGGAATTCGTGGGGCTAAGTGGTCTCAATTATTTGAAATAATACAACAATGCATGTTAAGTTTTCCCTATCCAGAGGTAGTAATAGTTCATTTGGGAGGGAACGATATTGGCTCAACGAAATCGGTCAATTTGATAAAAGAGATTAAAAGTGATTTGGTATGCATAACGCAAATATTTCCAGATGTTCGGTTCATATGGTCGGAGATTATCCCAAGGCATTGCTGGTTAAAAGTAAGTTTTTTAAAACCATTGGAAAGGGTACGTAGGAAAGTAAATAGAGCGTTGGAAAAATTTTTACCAACCCTGGGAATGACCTCATATAGACACAGGGATATTGAGGGCAATTGCGCTGGCTTTTATAGGAGCGATGAAGTTCACTTGTCGGATATTGGTTTGGATATATTTAATTTGGAGATTCAATCCATGTTGGAGATGGCCGTGGGCGTTGGGGGGCCACCGAGTTTGGTAGCCCAGAA